CGCTCCATCATTCCCAAAAACTGGCGTTTTTTTTACTGACTTAACAAAAGTATCTCTACTCTAACTGTCCTAACTTTAATGTAATATAATTATTTAATGATGTACAGTTTGGCTTCAGAAAAATGTAAGATAACTTTTTGAGTCAGATAGCGGGAACAAGTAGGATTGTTTTATAAGTTGTTGTTTTTTAGTAGAAATTAACAGCCATTTTTACGTCACAATAAAACATTAAATGCCAGGTTTTTTTAAGACTGTAAATGTTAGCAATTCACATTTACTTTTTAAAAACTTGACCTGCTTTACAATATATTTAAATCGAAAAAGTACCTATCATTTACATTTTTATGTTCTTTTTGTATTATTCTTTATTTCGGGTCACAGTTTTATAGAATTTTGCTCAGGTAACAGTTCAGTGACCAGAAATATCAAACAGAGCAACGTACAATAAATATCTAAATAAACAAGCAAAATTCCCCAAAAGACATCGATTTTTGATTTTTTTATATATCACCAGGCTCTTTTGATGTGAAACTGCAATCCGTCAATCCTCTCATTAAGGCGGGTCTTCTGTTAGGATGTCAATCATTCTCTGTAGGCGGGACACCTGTCTAGGGGAACATGAAGTTTTTATTTTCATTGTAAATAAAGTCATCAATGTGCTACATGGTGACATACAGTCATGTACTCAGTCAATGCAGCACCGCCTCCTAGTGTTGGATTGACAAAAATGCACATGTTTTTCATACTTTCTGGAGTTGGATGAAGTTTTGATCACACAGATGCCGTTTTATCCTGCTGTTGTCTCATCACTTTCCTCTGTTGTTGTGTATGTTTCAGCTGCTGCCAGATAAAAAAGGAGGACATCAAGAACAGTGTGTGCCTCACACCTGTCGCCCACACAATGATGATCTGATTTGATTTCTTTGAATTTTCTCGTGATTTTGTGAAAACATGCAAAAAGTATGTATGATTCTGTATGCTGAAATCAGGGTGTGTTGATACATTTCAGAGTAAGTGAACCCATTTTCAATTACAATATATTTTATTCAACAAATCTTTATATTGATAACCTAGGCTAAATACTGTCAGCCTGTGGAACAGAAATAAAAGCACCCTTTATTTCAGTATACTGTTGACAAAGACAAAGACAGCTGCAGATCTCTGTCTATATGTTTGTCACAAAACACCTTCCTGCACAGTGCACTGACCTCAGATCATCATATGTTTGATGTAATTAATCTGTTGATTTCATCGTTTTATAATTACCCTTGTCGCTTATCACATATGTGCCTTGGACTGCTTTGTAGGATATCATGTGTTTTTGTGTCAATTTCACTAAGCACAGGCTCTTTTTAGGTGCTCATTTTTGCTTTTCATTTATCAGTTAAGATGTTAAATATTTCACCAGTTTTTTCTACTGAAAGCTTTTTAAAGTACACAGCTGTCAGAAGGATTTGTATTGATGGTGATTTACTTTTTTTTTTATTATATGTAAATATAAAGACGGGTTGTATACAAAGACACTGGAAATGCTTTTTGGCTGGAATATGTTGCTCTCCATTTACATTTTCTCAATAAATCACAAGAGCAAGGTTTGTAGCTTCCAGATATGAAATGCAATGCTTTGAAAGTGCATCCTATCATGTTTTCCTGCAGGTAGAGGATCAAATAGGGGTAGGCTGCCAGCTTCGTGTCACCAAGTTCCTGTCACTTAAAAGACTTAAGACCCTCCCTCCCAACGCTTCCTATCTGGATCTCACCGTTAATAAGATACGATGAACTTGAATAAGCTTCAGTATCTTCAGTAGCTGTATTCTTTGACCTGTATGTGGCAGAAAAGTGACGGAGCTGCCTCCATGCAATTTACAATCAGAAACCCTTTAATTGTCCAACAGCGGTGAAATGTACATTGTTTCAGCCAATGACAACGTACGGATAAAAGGCTTGGACGATTAAAAGATAAAAGGAGTAGACATATTTAATAAAGAGGACAGCACATGTTAAAAAAAGCACATAGCTACACGTATAAATAAGTAGCAGCATTATAAAAGTAGTTAAGTTAATGGATAATCAGATAACTTAACCTTGACTTACAGCAGGGCCCTCGTCTTGACTTTTTTGACTCCCACAGTGACTTGAGACCTGAATGTTAAGACTTGAGGCTTGTGACTTGGCTCTGCGGACCACCATTGTCCTTTCAGTGACTTTCCACTAGAGGGGGCCGACAGTCAACACGAAGAGCCTCCATGTTTCTGCCCCTCTCTCTTGTGGGAGTTGAGTTGATAGAGGAGTGAGATGTAGGCAACCGGTGTAAAAATCTCCCTCTGCTTGATCTTCATAACCCAGGGATAACAGATAGGCTCTAAACCACATCTGGACATGGTGATTTTTCATGCAACTAATTAAATGCCACGGTATAAATTCAATTGACTTCTGCCATTTTGTAGGTATGACCCACATTGTGAATCGATTCCGCACAGGGTGATAAGGACTGTGGGCTTTGTAAGCTGAGACTGGCCGACAGCTCCCACTGTGGGCACATTTCCAGAGACAGAGACTTTGGCAGGTGGGCATCGACCCATCACACACAGCTGTGGCAGGGACAGGTTACACTCATGCCAGGCCTCTCTCCTTCAGCTTCACTCCACGCTGCTTAGTCTCCCCTTTAAAGTCAGATATCTACTCATCTTTCAACTGCAAAGTGGATCTAAGTGTCTGAAAATGAAAGATTAATATTGGAATTAATTTCAATCTAGTGCCTTTTTCTGTCAAGAGCCTTGCTGAGCTGCATATTGCCTTAGCAAACAGTGTTATCGATTTGAAAGTACTGTGGGGAGTGATTTCCACATAATATATCTCTAAATCTGTAATATCTGCAGCACAGCAAAACATAGCCAACAGATTAAAACATTAACATAACTAAAATTCAGGAAATCTACAAGATTCATACACAACCAGAGGAAACATTTGCATTATGGTTAAGCTACTGCGTATCCCCAGTTTTCTCTTTTGTTAATTTTTTTAAAAGTATTTTCAGAGAAGACTGTCTCTCAGTAGTGCCCTTGTGTTTAAAAACTCTGGCGTCAGGTGGCCTTCAGTCATTCTTCTGCATAATGCTGCTACGTTGTGCCAAAAGAACAAATGTGTTCAACTACCACTTACATATAGAAAGTCAAATTATTCCTAATGTAAGATATCATTGCACCAAAGCTCCATTAAAGCACATAAGCAGGGTTTTTGTAGAGACGTTAACATACATCAAGTAACAGTAGATGCACCATTTTGCAATTTAGGATCCATTATGATCAATTATGAATAAGGGATTTTTGCGTCTGCTGGCTCTAATAAATACAAACATATTACATTACTTTTTCCTAACTTAATTTCCAACTTTTTTACTTGTGCAAGGCTCTGATACGCACGTAGGATATTCTTGCACAAACAACCAGATTATCTCCTGTGGTAGAGAAGTGCAATTCAGCAAAAGGGAGGTTTCACTGAAGGGAGAGTGGTGCCAGCCTGGCATACTGACACCGAGCGACTTGACGGGGATAACAGAAGGTTCATGGAGAGATCAGTAACCTGAAACAGGAGGCTACATCTTTATGCCTCAATAAGAGAAACATGAGTTGGCACATGTGAGAAATTCACAAGCAGAGTTTAGTTGTGTCTCTGTGCCAACACAGGAGTGAAGGTCATATGCAGAGGTGCTTCACATTACTTCCCAGGTCCTTGAAATGCTAGTCATGACAAGTATTTCATTTTCTTTTATTCAAATCCAGCTGAGATACAGCCAGTGTGACAGGAGCAGAGCAGCAACAGCCAGAAAGGGGCTTTACATGCAAAAGCAAAGTTAAAATAGATGCAGAATGTGACAAAGAGGCATGGGAAACATCTTAAGCACTGACACCAACGAGTCGATGGATGTGACAGTCGCTGTTAACACATTATGTCTCCTGAGCGCTGTGATGCAGTATTATTTCACGAGTTCAAAGATCATGAAGGATACACTCTGAACTCTGTTTCAGCTTTGTGGACAGTCAGGAAAATGCAATATGGGTCCTGAGCTCCGAGCTATCAGAATTTGAACTTTTGGTATTCTGTGCACTTACTAAATCACTTAAAAATGGATGGTTTGATAGCAGAAAGTCTTCAAAACTGTAATATTAAAAGTCAATTTCTTTGTGTTTGTGTTTTCTCATTATTACTTTTTCATGTATTTTTACAAATATGCAAGCACTTAGAAAAATAAATCATCAAACATGGGAAAAAGAATAAATAAACAAACAAGAAAGCACTAGTAACAAGAAAAGGGGATGACAAATCATGACAACATATTCCAGGTAACTTTTTCATTTTTCATATTTAAATTCTTACGATAAATGAATATGTTTACATTAAAACCTGTTTAGATTCCCGCAGAATGATAAATGTGTCAAACAACATGAATGCTCCTATTTATCCCCTGCTAATATCAAAGCCTACAGATAACTTAAACAAAGCTTTGCTTATGCAGCACTTTACTGTGTATGCCTGCATGCACAAAGGCAGTAACACTAGCTAAAGCATGTGACTTCTTCTGAGTCATATCTAGTTCTCCCCATGTGACCTCCCACCCTCCCTCTCTCTAGTCCACATTTCCATTACTTTAGCCAGCAGCAGAGCAGCTGGTCTGAGAGCTGCAGATCCAGTTACTGTGGGGACATTTCTGTTGAGACAGAGTATGATGAGGGATAAACTCCTGATGGGCTGAACAACTGTGCTCACTGCTACCTGCCAAATGTACAAAGACACATACACGTATACACACACAGTATCACTACAGGGGGGCTCTTAAAGCTGCTCCCTCCTGTAAAACTGGCTGCATGTGTACATTTTGGACTTTTTTTACTTGCATTATTGCATGCCTGTCATTATCTGAGTTTTGGAGTATTTTTTTAACAAGTAAGTATGCTTCAGTTTGCTGGAGAGGGTCAGAGCAAACACTAAACTGTTCATGCTTCAACCTCTCATGTCAAGATAGTACCAGGTTTCAATGTGTGAATACTGCTGATATGCAGCCATAATGAAAATGTCGATTTTCCTCTCCTACAATTAAAACATAAAATAAATATGAACTGTTTGTGCATCATAGGTCTTTGGACTAAATAGAGAGACAAAACATGTTTAAACATTTTCTTTGGCCTCGATTCTTCAGAATCAAAGGTCTAATAATCTTTGTGGCCAGGGGTATAGACAAACATAGCATTAAACAAACAGATATGTAGTGTCCTGATAGCCTTATTGTTATTCAAATTAGATTCTTCATCCTTCAGAAAAAAACACACTTTTTTCAATCTAATTTCTAAATATACATCTAATAAAAAATATTAATATGTTATTGCTTTATACTTCAAAACGTGCATCTATCGTTTTCCCTAAAAACAACTATATCCCCCATGAATTGGACAATCAACAGTTAATTTATTGAAATTAGATTTTTCCGCCAATCAGAGAAGAGATGCCTTTACGTCGAGAGGCGCGCTGTGATTGGTCCAACCCTCGGTCAGCTGACTGGCAGTAAGGTATAAGTATTCCTCAGAAGTTTTGTCCGCTTCAGTGTGAATGTGGGTCTGTGTTTTTGTGTCAATGTGGGGGCAACACTGCTTGTGAATTTATTTATGAGAAACCTTCTGAACTAAATTATATTTGCACTAAATAATATTTAAGGTAAGTCATGTAATTTTCTTGAAAATGAACGGTTAGCTCGAAATGTAATGCTAAAGTAGTTAACTGGTGTTAGCCTGGTGTTAGCGCGGGCGGTAAGTTACATTTTGAAAGTTAAAAGCGTTCACATTTTATTTTTTATTGTGGCTAAATGAGCCAGCTGTGGATTAATGAGCTAGACCAACCTGCTTCCACTGTTAAACTGACGCTGCTACTCCTACATTTTCACAGGAAAACAGCACACTGTCGCCATGGTCGCCACAAGCACGTTAAAGACCAAAAGCAGCGACTGTATCTCAGAATTGGTGGAGAGAAGATATGACCAGGCTTGCATTGATAAAGGTAAGCTTTTTTCTGTGTTTTTTGTGTATGCTAGTGTCTGGGTTCTTCTAGCAGGGTGCTTATTTACCCCTGTGTGTGGCGCATGGCTGCAGCAGCGAGGGGAGGGGTGAGGAGGGGAGGATGAAGTCATCCCTTCAGCCTCCCTTTTACAACAACAACCTGGAAAAAAATCGAATTAAACCCCATTTTTCTGTCAAAAGCCACATTCTTTTATTGCAGTTTCTATATGGTGACTGCTGTGATGCATGTTTTATAACATTGAACAGATTAGCAGTCTGACTGTTAATCCTTTTTCTTTTGTGAGTGTTGCATCATAAACACACACTCAAATTGAGCGGATGCAAAATCAGATTAAATCCGACAATCCATATTTGTTTTGTTAGAAGAAAATAATTTGTTTCCATTATTGAACATTTACATAATTTCCATCATTATTTATTCATTTGGTCTCTTAACATTGGTTTTCAAAATATTATAAATTATCTTTTGGCAGTCCAAAGCCCCCAAATATCCAGTTTAATATGATAAAATGGAGAGAGAAAAAGAGTGATAGCTCCAATTTTTGAGATGCACAACATTTCTTTCATTTGTGCAAAAATAATTGACTTTTTATTAATCCATTATTAAAATAGTGGTTTGTGGCTTGACTAATTTCATTTGTGCATGATGATGGGATCTTGAAAAAAGCCATTTATTTACCTGCATGTTTATCTTAAATAAGACATTGTCATTGGTCCCTAACTGTTCAACTTGTGTTGTTCTCCTAGAACTGGACTTCTGGGATCACTGCCTGGCTGAACCCCAGAGGACTGGAGAAGTCACTGAAGACAGAACCTGTCAACAGCTGGCCAAAATGTTTGAAAACTGCCTGTCCCGAGCCAAGAAGACAACCCTGCACTGCTCCTCTGTGCTGGTACCAGAGAAGCTGACGCAGAGGATAGCTGGAGAGGTGCTGCGGCTGGCGGCCTGCGAGCCCTGCGGCCTGCGGGGTTGCGTCCTCTACGTCCACCTGGACATGGAGAAGGGCTGCAAGCGGCTGGAGCGAATTGTGTACGATGCCACCGTGGTGCCCACCTTTGAGCTGACTCTTGTGTTCAAGCAGGACGGCACTGCCTGGCCCAGCCTGCGGGACTTCCTGTTCATGGGAACCTGCTTTGCCCCGACTTTCAGACATGTACTCAAACTGAGTTCAGGCTTTCGGCTCGTCAAGAAAAAACTGTACTCCTCCTCGGCTGGCACTATTGTAGAGGAGTGCTGAACTATATATATATTGGGTTTCCTGTGGGTAAAGGCACTTCTGCCCAAATGTAAATGATACTCCATTGGTGTCATATTTTCTAGTGTTTTTGTACAATACACTATAGTTGATACACTTTAGAGCAAGACACTAGCCACTTTGTTGAAGGTCTGTTTCCAGATACACTGAGTATGTTCAGCAGCTGTAAACGCACCTGGGCACGATGAATAGGAGACCGAAGTTAAGTCTTTGGGGGCCATACTGTATGTAGGTTGTTGTGTAATGCTGTATTTATGGCTGCGAATGTTTTTTAGGGCTGATCGTCTTGTGAAGATGCTGCTGTCGTGGTGTGGGCTTCTCACACTACGGTTATGTGGATGCCTTAAATGTCAGAGAAATGCACTTTTTTTTTCACTTGGAGATGTGTGTTTAGTGTAAACGTTTTTAGTGCATTTTTATTTTTATACCCCGTTCTGAAACATTTCCTTTCAATGCACCGCCTTTATAGATTATTAAAAGGATTGTTCATGTGTTGATTCTTTAACCTGTGCGAAGCAGGTCCCCTCCTCCAACACACACACACAAACGCGCACATGACCAATGAGGGCACGCGATAAGTTTGTGCACAGAAGACCGTGCCGGCTAAAAATGATTGAATGGCCTGTCAGCCTTCCATCTGTGCACAAACTTATCTCGTGCCCTTATTGGTCGTGTGTGTTGGAGGAGGGGCTCTTTAAGGAAGTGGCTGATTTTTTTTCAGGCTGTGTATTTTCAAATTGTAGCGCACTCGACCTGGCTTCTCCAAAATTACCTACCCCACCTTAAGGTCCATTTTGTAATTTGAGATATTTGATGAATTCCCTAGTGTTTTTTTAAAATGCTAATTGAACCTTCTGTTGAAGGAAACTGTTAGACATCAAACATGTAAACTTTATTTTCATATACTTTATGCAATTTGTATTGACGTTACTCTGCATGTTCTGGAGTTTGGTAGGTAACAGTGGTGCAATACAGGCTTTCTAAATTGAGACAATGTTGTCCTGCTATGACAAAATAAATATCAGCTTCACAGGGAAAACTAGCAAACTTTTTCAGATCCTTTTTTATCCATTAAAGTGTCTGCAAACATTTCCATCTGTAGATTCTGGGATGTTTCAATACTCCTGGCACTGTTTGTTTTTGAGTCCTGAAACTTATTAATATTGTATTGATCCCTCCGCTCCTGCAGGGCCTTTTGAAAACAGTGTTTGGTGTCAGCAGCAGTTTGTTACATAAGCACATCAGCTGCGTGTGTGATATTTCTCGCTGTCTTTAATGGCGGGTTCTCCATAGTGATCTGTCGGGTAAATGAGATTCAGATAAACTAAACATTGTGACACTTGTGTGGGATATTTGGGCTTGTGACCTTTTTCAGTCACCTTTTTTTAAATGCACAGTTTGAGGCTTACAGTAAGTAAGCTATTGTTATACTGTAACATGTTGATTGCAAAGGTTTTAACAGGCATGTCATTCAAGCACCGACAATTGAAGAGGGTCACATGGTTACAGTAGTTAAATGACAGAAGCACATGATCTTGTGCAAGATGCATCCCAGTCATTGTGAGGGGACAAAGCACCAGTGATTGGTTATTTACTTGTTGCAATTGCACAACCCTGCCTGACCCAACCCTTGCTGTGAGGCAGCAACACAAGGGGCATTGTGGGGCCCATAAAAGTATAAAGTACGGTCTGTCTGTGGAGAGTAAACCTATAACATTAGCCTGACAATGAATTCAAAAAGGTCTATAGAACACAACATTTTTTAGAGCAACAACGCAACCAATGGATAAGTGTGTTAAATGGTAATGGTAAAACTGCTTGCTTGTATTTATTTAACATTTTTAAATAAATATCTTTTGATTTTGGACTGACAACTTTTAAAGACCCCCACCTTGGACTCAGATTCGTTGACATTTTATAGACTAAACAATTATTCAATCATTTATTAGTGTGAAAATAGCAATTTTCAGCTTTTTTATGCGTTTTCAAAGCTTAGACAAGTGATCATATAGATGCATTGCTGTGTTATGCATTATACTACCAAATGGTGTATCAAGGAGACACAAGTTATTCAACCTTAACATCCACAGCCAAATAAACACCTTTACTGTAGTAATGTTTTGTAGGCAGGAGTATTACTTGAGTATTTCAGGATCTGAATACTTCTTCCAGCAGAGGCAGCAAAGGCTTCTTCTGAGGGACACATCAACATATTTCTTGCCTCCTGGAAAAGTACTCAAGGCTTTTTCACTCAAGAATCTGAGCTGCACTTTACTGAAGGTATTTTAAATTCTCAGTGTCAACACAAGCTGCACAGTGTGGGTTTCAGTAGCAGAGCCTTGTTGTGAAACGCATGCATCCCTGCTACAGTCAAACTGATCAAAAACACCTCCTGCTTACAGAGGACACAAATGCAGCTTTGACAGCCTACACTTGTTTACAGGCTTTGAGTCCCTCTACGTATTTGTGTCACTGGATCCATGTTTCCGTCTCCTGACCCACAGAACAACCTGCTTGCTGTGAATTTGGAAATCTGATGAGTGTGGCATGTCACACTGGGATTCAGTGTGATCCAGATATGTTTTTCTGTCTCCAAGAAGTTTGTACAATCTTTGTTTAAATTGCCTTTATATGGGGTTTGCATCGTGATCTTTCTTTATTTCAATTTGCTTTATATTCCCAGCCATCAGTTTTAAATATCTATCCACTATCAATGTAGAAAATACATTGGATATAAATGGTTGTAGAAATAGATCCTTGTTTACTCGTTCACTATTTCCATTTGGCATCAGGTAGCAGACAAAGTTATTTTGGACAGTTTATTGTTGCCCTGTGAGACTGTTCCCGCCAGAAAACACTCACATTTTTATGCAGGCAAAGTGAAATCATAAATTAAATGTTTGTCACACTTCTTTCTCACATATCTTTCTTTGCTTGGAATGCTATATTGTTAGTAATGTTTGTCATTTTTTTGTTGTCTATTTCAGTAGGGTATGAGGTCGAGTTGTGAGGAGAGGAAGAGCACTGTTAACATGAACGGCTTGGTAAACATGCTTGAGCTTGCCGTTCGCTCTTTCCAGGTAGTGAAACGGAAATATTTCTAAGACTGCTGAAGTGGAGCTGTCAGCACGCAAAAGGGGAAATCTACTTTGCATTGCCAAGTAACAACCTAAAACCCCTCGGCACTGAGCACAGACTGATAGGAGGATGTTATTGATATGTTTATGGTGATATTAAAATGTTAGCATGCTTAAACTAAGATTGTGAACATAGTAAATACACTTACCAAGTATAAGCATGTTAGCATTGCCACTATGAGCATGCTTTTGTTTGCATTGGTCCAAAGAAGACCTGAATGTAATACAAAATGTGGATACCACCAATCCCTTGAAAAACCATTTGAGTTCAACCAATTGGGGAGGCATCTAGATGCAACACCCAAAAAGGTGGGTTTATGCTTATATTCTAAGGCCTTATATTATGGATATGTATTAAAATTGTAGGAGAAACAAATGAAAGGGGAGGGATGCAGTTTGAATTTAAAAAACCTGTTCAGAGCATTTGGATATTCTGATTTCTAAAGAAATGCCATCAAATTTGACATTTCAAAACCTTGAAACACGAAATAAACACTCCTGAGAACATAAAACGTTTTGAAAAGTATTGTTAATATGTCATTTTAAGACAGCTACCATGTCAAATGTTACATCAGCCTTGGTGCCATTTGATGATATTTCAGACTGAAGCTTCATAGTGTAACAGTATCATATTTGACTTTATTATTTAAAGCATGATATAGTGCATTGCTTTCAGATTGAGAGTCTGGTCCTTCAGTGTGTTTTCCTCTCAGCATTGTGACCATAACATTTAATGCAGTACTTTATGCGATGCATCCTGACCAGTTGAAAGTCACACGGCATTAAAATGTTTGTGAGATTTAAAGTAGATGCTTCACGTGGTCATCATTGATACTTTGAGATCCTCCTCATTGTAACACTGTGTACAGCCAAAGCCTTCGAAAGAACTGGGTGTCTCGTTTAATTTTACATTTCATAGGCTCATCTATGTTTTGCTCTTACATAATAATGTTTAGCACCTCTTAGGTTGATCATATATTAATAACTGAAGTTAAAAGCATGTAGTAACTAAGTAGAAAGTGGAGGAAGTTCCTAAATAAACCATTACGACAGTGAAATATCAGGCACATGATGTTAAACAGCAGGGTATTCTTAAAACATATGGATATTTTGAGATGTTGCTATGCTATTTGCAGCAGTTTGGATTTAGCTTTATTTAAGTCTCACTACAGTGTTTATCTGGCTGCTGTGTGACCTTCGCAGGACGCTGGTTCGGAGCTGACAACTCCTCCATAACTCATGCTGTTCTGGCTCCAAACGTGGATTTCTCTGACATCTGACAAGTGGGCGTCGTCTCACTTTTGAATTTTTATTGGGTGCTGCTGGAAGAAGGTTGTCGCCTTGGTGAAATCGCAATCATGACCTCTTAGTTTGATACAACTGCTCCAAAGGTGGTTGATTGGAAATCTGTGCAAAATCATGACTTAATGCATGATATTCTTTGTAAGAAGCTCTAATAATTAGAAGAATTGAAATGGAGCAACTTTTTCTGGCTCACACAATAAAACACAACATTACAGGAAAACATAAAATACACCGTCAGTTTGTCCAACTTGGCAACTGCAAAAAGCTTCTGCATTACAATAGGTGATTTATAGGCAGACATAATAGAAAATAATACAGGTTTTGATTATATACTTTAGCTCACATGTGTCAAACTCAAGGCCCCGGGGCCAAATCAGGCCCTTGTTGGATTTAATTTCGGCCCGCAGGATAATTTTTTATTACTATTAGATCTGGCCCACCGGTATATTGCACACACACCTTCACTCAACTCTGAGGATTTCCTCAGCTCAGAGCCTGAGCCCAAACATTGATGAACTTGCACCCAAGATGAGATGCCAAGTATCTGGCTTGAACTAGCATCACAGAGCAGCACATTGAGTTTAATGGATGTTTCCTTCTGCACTTTTTTTCTTGCGACAACAGGGCATGTTTGTTTTTTTCTTTGAGGGAAATAGTTTTTTTGAAGCTGTTGTTGGCCTGTGGAAACATGTAATGCTATCATAAGAAATGACTCCCCGGAAAAAGCTGCAAGATATGAGCCATAAAGAAATGAAATGCAACCTGATTATTTAATGTTTAATGTTGTTTATAGGCAATAATTTAAGGCTTTGTTAGTTCTAGGTTTTAATAACGTGCAATAAGTTCATTTCAAATACTTTTTGCAATAACCATTGAACAGTCCGGCCCTCGGCTAGTACTCCATTTTTTTTATTTTGGCAACACCTGTGTTATTTGAGTTTGGACACCCTGCCTTTTAAGCTCAATAATTGTTGGCCCCTTGAGATTTGTGTAGGAATTGTAGTACCCATGAACACTTCACTCTTCATTATCATTCATCAATGTATTATTTGATTTTCACTTTAGATTTGTATCTAATTGGCATTCTTAATCCCCCTTCTCTTTGTAAGAAACCTTGCTTTAGTTAATGTCCTGAGCCCATAATGTCTGCAATCATTATGGCTAAAAAATAAACGTATAGAGATAACACTGCCATCCAAGTGGATACCAATGAATAGAATAATTGACTTATAAACCACAAACACATGTTATTTATTTCAATGTTATTATTGGAATTGTTGTTGAGGGATATTCACTAGCCAAAAAGATAGAGTTGTTAATCTTCGATATTGCTTTGTCAAAACAATTAGGCAAAACCCACATGCTTTGTTTTGAAAGTGTTACAGGAAAAGTAGGGGCCTTATGTCTCAACTTGACAAGGTGTCCCTTGCTTGTTGCCAGCGGGCAACCACAGGCACCAAGGCGACGCTAAACGATAAACTCAAACTTGCCGTTTTTAGAAAGCTTAGTTAGATAAGGGCCCTGGTAGGTTGAGGCACTTTTATTTTTTTTTAATGTTCCTGCGTTGTTTTCAAGGTTTCAATAATTTGTCACTGATTGCAAAAATGCCCACCTAAAGCAAGCTAAGATAGGGCTCAGCCAAAAAGCCCCAAATGCTTCTGGTGCCTCCAGCTGTCGGCAGAAACTGGGAGGGCTGGTCTCAGCCAAGAGCTCGCGTTTGAAGAGGTTTTGTTCTTTTCACCGCTTCCTTTTTTCTGTTAACTTACTTGGTTTAAAATTTTGTTGTGTTACAGGTTAAAAAGGTTAATCCTCATTAAACATATTTATTAACTTTTTAGAAAGTTTCCTGAAATTGCTTGCTACGCGCGGTAAGTTAAAAAAAACTTAACTTTAAACAAAAATGGGTCCCCTTAGTAGCTAGCTAGCCCTAAACATTTTTTAGTAATTGTTGTTTTAAATGTTAATAGCGTTTCATTTAAGTTAGAAAAACAAGGGATTTTAAACTGGGTTTTTATCTACAAATCTTTGCTCTTGATACACTTAAGTAAACGTTAACAAAGGTTAAAAATTTTAGGTTATTTGGTGAAAATTGTGGTTAAGAACAAAACAACAAAACAAAACAACTTCCCTGGCGAACATTTTGGTTCACCTGAAAATAAGAACCCGTGCCCCCTTATTAAGAAAAAAATTGGCACAAAATATTAATACATTTGAAGGGTTAAAGGAACCCGGAAAAAGTTTGCCCCTTTTTGGTGTTTAATTATCTTCTTCCAAGTTATTTGAATTCCTTTATTATTTTTAAAACCAATGAATGGGTATCAACTTGGATTTTTTCAATGAAAAGAAAACGAACAATAATGAATTTATGAAATGTTAAAATGAAAAATGAATTCAAATCAAATAAGGTTTTGGGAGGGGAAAAAAAAAAATCCTCCTCACAAGAAATTTTAAAGCTTTTTGTCCAAGTTTAAAATGTTGGAAATGTTGGCAAAAGCCAAAAAAAAAAAATCTTTTTTGAAAAAACCTTTGGTTTTAATAAGGGGAAAGCCAGGAAATGAGGTTTGAAAAATCAGTTGAACACAGTTGGTGGTTTTTTTTAATTTGGATTGGATGTAAATTTTTAAATTTTCCTTTGTTTTTTTTCTTCAATACTATTTTCAGGAGTTCCAATTGGCAAGCCTGTTGGTGGTCTCCTGGTTTGGTCGGGGAGAAAAAGTCCAGAAAGGAAAAGGAGAAAGCCTTTGAAAAACCAGGCTTGGTCCTGTGGGGCTTGCCAGAAACAAAACCAGCGCAAAACTTTTCAAGCTTTGCCTTGAACTGGGAAAAAAGCCACCGTTGCAAGGTTTAGGTTTTTATTTCAGAAAATAGGTTCCCCAGAAAACTATGTAATATTTTTGGTTTTATTTTTGTTAGAACTCCGCCCAGTTCAATTTTAACTTCTTTAATACTTGTATTCGTCAAAATGAGATTTTTCAACTTCCCTTCCAAACGTTTTTACAAGATCCAAATGGAAAAACTTGGGGAAAATCCCAAAAGGGCCAAAACGAACTGAAATGAAAGCCCCCAATGTTTATGAGGGTTGGGCTTTTTTTGGAATAAAGATTTTTTTAAATGTTTGGTTGTTTTGTTTTCAGTTCAGTCAGTTTGGGTCCCTTTCTTTTGAAATTTTGGGTTTTTTTGGGGGTGTTTTGCTTAAATTCCCTCCTGGTCGTTGGGTTCTTCCCTGGAAGTAGGTTACAGAAGCCAGCCGAGGGTAAACTTGCCTGGATTTGCAGCGAAGATGAGATTTCCTTGTGACCTGAATGGCTTTAATATACTGGGAAAAAAGTTTCCAGCTGCCTCACAAATCAAAAAAGCCAATGATCCAGCAGAGGGAAGGGGAAGCCGAGGGCAGGTTTGGGAAGGACAAATCAGGGAGAAAATTATTATACAATTTGGGAGTGGACTTTAAATCCCCATGTTTATACAAAGAAACCTTATAGAAAGGAAAAAACATCAAATTGGATTTTTTTTCCCGCAAAAATTATTTTGAAGGGCTGAAAGGAGGAGAAAAAGGCCAAAAACCGTTTTTGGAATTCCTCCTCATTTGTTCCCCACAAGAACAAAAGGAAAGGGGCTTAAAGTACTTTGAACCAAAAAAGGGGAAAGGGGCCCCACCCTC